CTAAGTGAATGCAGAGCTGCTCAGGAGATTTTTCTCAAAATATCATTGTGGCATAATATTTTGGTCACAATGTTGTTTATGCCAGCACCATATAATCTGAAGAAAAGCTACAACATAAGCATCACTATCAACTCTACATTTGTGTTTCTGCCATTGCCAGCACAGTTACATGAGCTGGCATGTTTCAGTGCTGAGGCTACTCATGGATCCAAGTTGCAGGGTAATTGAGGGAACTGAGGAAGATGCAAGTATAAAATACAGCAACAAACATCCACAAGCCTAAAGGAGCCTTTCTAACGACCTTCTTGCTTGACTCATGTTTCATGTCCTGCAGCTTTTTTATGGGGATGATATAAAGAAGAAAGTAGAGAGTCAAAATAAAATCAACTGCATAACCCAGTTTTATTTTATATTAATTTTATGAAGCACTTAATTAAAACACCTATTAAAACCAACTGAAAGGGTTTGAGTCACCTGTCACAATTTTGTTTTTACAATTGAATTTTTTATGATTCATTCTTTGGCAGGAAAATCAAGCTCACATCTTTCAAAGAAACAGCAGAACAGAAAAGATTTCTTTTAGTAGGAACATATGCTTGAATATTGCTTTAGGATAGAGCTCAGTGCCTCAGAGAAATGCTGAAGTATTTATTGCAGACAGGCAGGACTTTCTACAGTTGTCATTGGTAAAATCACTTTGAAATGAAAGATCTGACCAGAACTATGATTTGCTACCTAAAAATATTGCACCACATGAGAAAAAAATGAAATTATACATCTTGAAATACAAACATTGCTTTCAAGCTCCCTTATAAAATGCTTGTTCAGTTTTATGGTAGGTACACCCCTTATTTTTATGGTGCAACCTATTTATTTCAGATGTTTAAGGCTTTGCTACATGTAGAAGAGGCAACATTAGAAAAACAAACACAGTAGTTAGAAGCTGTGAACTACATTTGCACAAAAAGAGAGGAAATGAACTCAAAGATAAAATTAATTGTGAAGCAAACCCTCATAGTTTAGTCAGATATTGATTTGCATCTTAGATCTCTTTTCAGTCGCAGGAATTAAATGGAAATCCATGCCATGGCCTTGCTTCCATGACTGTCAGAATTCAGGTTGCCCTGGAGACATGATGCTGCATTCATGGAAGGATAAGAGAGAGAATTCAGCCCTGCTGTTCTTTGGGGACCATGCTCCCAAAATTCTTATGTGGGCCTCCTCTGACACCTGAGAGCTTGAAGACAAAGCCAGCCAGCCAAGTATTTGTAATGTGAGATGCTACTGTAAATTAAACGCTTACTAATGAAAGATCAGAGGGATCACTTTAAAAAGCTAGCTCCCTATTTCTCTGCGTGCCTTTGGGAAATACCTAATCATGCTTTTTAGCAGTGTAGCCACAGGCACTGTATATTTAAAGCAAGCACAGCAGCAAAATCTCTGTGTCTTATACAAAGGTGTGACACTGTGTAATGACAAGTAACATCCTGGATATAAGAATATATGTGATTAGGACAGTTCTCAAATCCACATACATATCTATCCAAATCATTCATCTGTAAACACTGGATAGTATCTGCTAGAAATGGAAAGTAGAACAAGCCAGCCTTACAGGCAGAGCTTGCTGTGGAGGTATGTAAATCTCTCAGCAGGTCAATACATTATTTCCTCTGTCCATATAGGATTTACTGCTCCTGTCAGCATACTGTCCTGTTAATATTGTTGCACAAGAGGCTGGAGTTCAGGAAGGGCTTTGGTAGTCAGAGAACAAAAGCTTCGCATGTGACATCAAGGCAAGTGCACCCACGCAGCCCCTCTGAGCCTTGGGACAAATGAGTGCAGCTCAACTGCCTTTTTGCATCGCCCAGCAGCAAATTGAGCATGGAGTGGAATGAGGACAGCAGTGAGGGGACCTAGAAATACTGACTTCTTTGACGTGTAGGCCAGAAGTTGGAAGCACTTACCAAAACCTGTAAAATGGGAATGGAATGGAGGATACTGATAAAGATCCTGTGCTGCAAACAGGAAGCTTCACACTGCTGCTAAAAGAAGAAACAGGCATACAAAAGAAAGCAACGCTGGTGCTGCTCTGTACAGAATGGCACCTGTGTCCTCCAACACTTCATGACCAGATTCACAGTCCTTGCAGGGCAATTGTGAGTGGTGCTGGACAGAAAGACAGCGATGCACAGGACATAAGCAAACATGAGGAAAATAAGATTGGAGGCAAAGATGATCACAAACCATATTACTGCTGGGGAAAGAAGACACCTTCCTAGAATTGAATGCTTGTAATTTAGGAGGGATTATATAATTTCTGTGAGTCAAGAGGTGCCCAAATGCTTTGCTGAACGTCCAGGCCCATGGCTTCCGAGTTTGCAGCCAACTGTGTTTGTAGCAAACACAGGTGTCAAATGCAGAACTGCCTTTTCCCCATCCTGTCTCCTCAGGTTGTTAGTGGAAAGAGACTAGCAGTCATCAATGGAACTAACTTCTACAAATTTATTAAAAACATTTTTCATCTAACTTCCTTAATAGCTTTCACCTTTGCCATAACTGTGGCAATAAATGCCACGTTTGGATAAACATTTCACTAATTATCTCAGGCTTTGATCTACGCCTCTGAAGTTGCATACTGCTTCCCCAGGCACTGGAACTAGAAGTCTGTGTTGGAGCTGCCCTGTTCTACTGGAATAGTGAATAAAGCCTTTCTTGAACATGTTTTAGTAGACTCCATTTAAGTAGATAATGTGAATAAAGAGGCCCATATTCAGAATCTACAATAGTAACAAACATTAATTGCACAGTAATAGTTATTGAAGACAATATGCAATGTGATCATGTCTTGTGCTTGCTTTGGGGCATACCACTATCATAATTAATAATGTTATTTAATAACAACAGTAGGGCAAATGCAGCTTATAAATTCAATGGCAAGGTTAATAAATGGGATCTGATCATTAGTTAGGTACAGCTGAACAATTTATGAAGAATTTTAAGACTTTCCCTAGAGGTGGTGAATCAGGGCTGATGTGCTTGCCTCCTTTAGGGAGCAACAGGAATGAAAAGTAAATAAGTAGAGATGTGAAACAGCCTAGTCTCCTCTTTATCATGCCCTTCCTCTAAACTATTTTTTTTAATACCAGAATTAAAATGCCTTTGTAGCATGGACTTTTGAAAGAAACTATAATTCAGAGCCTAGCCTGATTTGGGACTCAACTTTATAATATCATCTTATTGGTCGTGGAGTTCTCTACCTCAGTAATTCATGTGCAAAAGGCTGTTTCCTGTCTTGATAGGTTTACAATTTAGGTAATACATGTAAAAGAAAAAAAAAAAAAGAACAATTGCAGTAACAATTTGTCTCCTAAAAGGTGGAGCCTTTGGTATTTCTGCTTATTCTGATATTCCTCCAGCATGCACAGTCCTACCATGACCTGTAAATGGTACATTTACAAGTCTGTGCAATAATTCTTGAGCAGGTACAAACAAGCCAGGGCTTACTATCAGTATCATGTTACTTGACTTAATATACTGTTGAGAGGATTTGAACTCTGGTAAGTAGCATGGCTGCAAAGTCTTTCTCCCTATTGCAAAGATAAATGCATTAGTTTAAAACCATCTTAGAGGTGAGATGAGATAACAGGAAGCACATGGGCACCTATCATACTTCAGCTGTCAAGCATGTTGCAAAACCAAGTAACTCAGCTGATTTTGATGGCATGCTCTTAATCCACAAGGGAAGAGGGTTAAGTGAAGGGTACTGACAGACAAGCTTTGGCTGAGCTTCACGTGCAGGAACTGAAGAATACACAGTGCTACTGCTCCCACAGACAAAGGAAAGATACCTTATTCACCCCAGTGCTATGTCACTCAATATCCATAAAGAGGTTCACTCTTCAATACCAGGGCAAAGGAATGGAACTAAAAGGTGGAGGTAGCTTGTTGGGTTGTTTTTTTACATAGTACAGCAAGATAAGCCTGTCAGTGTCCATATAATTACACTCTCCTATATTTAGAACAAGTCAATAATACACATGCACATAATACATATGCATACCATATACACCATTAGCTGGTGCGCAGTAATGTGCTTGACAGCATTAAGTTGAGCAGTGTGACTGTTGCCCTGGCTGGATCCTGAATCTCCAGTTTGAAGCTGCCTGTGAATATCACCATGGGGAAGTTACAAAAGAAAACAAGAATGGTGAAATCAATGGTGAGGTGAGGTTTCTAAAAGGTAACTGAAAATGTAAGGATTTTTATTGTCAAGGACTGCAGTCCTACAGCAGAAGAGGAATTATATTTCTAAAGAATAAGTAGGATAGTTGGCAGAAGAATATTTTTGGTAGATGGTTACAGTCAGAGGATAATATACCCAGAATCAGGCTCTTCTCTGAGAAATACCATTCACAGGTAAAAGAAAGTTCTTTTTAAAAGTCTGTTCTTCCAGTGGACAAGGAAAGTTCTAATTTGGTCAGCTTCGAATCACAACCGAACAAAATGAAAAATAGATTACTCTTCAAGCACGGATACTAGAATAACTTGGCAGAGTATTATAGAGACAGAAGTAGCAGCGTATGCCATGCAGTGCTTTGCAAACTGCATGGTTTGGACCCCAATCTATCCGTGCCTCCAGGGATAGAAGCGCAGCGCGAGTGAGCACTGACCTCTAGTGGACAGAACAGTCAGACCTGGGAAAGGTCGCTGAATTTAAAATAGAAAGTACGTCATGGGCACGGCTGGCCCAAGGCTTGCGCTTGGCACGTCTACAGTCAGCATAGTTCTACTGTTACCAATCTCTCACTGTCTGTGTGTCAGAAAACATCATGTCTATTGTAAAATCTAGAGGCAGTTTTTTTATGGCCAAAAGAAAACAGTGCACACTTACAATTTGCTTAGTAAGACACAGAAGTCCAACTACTGGTCAGTAAAATTAACTGAGGCTAAATTCACTCAACTTTTTAGATATTTATTTAATAACCTGCATTGTTGAGACTGTGTCAATGGATATTATCAAAGCACTGATGTTCAAAGAAAAGAATCCTAAGGAAATATGAACATACATGTCCTATATTAAGAGTCTTAGTCCTATTTTTATTATAATCAAAAAGTACAGAATGGTGAATGTTCATATATTTTCAATGTCTGCCCCAAAGGAGTTTGCTTGATTCTCACTTTCAAGTTATTTTGCATGGTAAAAGTCCTTTAAGTGTTTTGGAGCTCTTCTTTAAAGTAATTCAAAGTAGAAAATCAATCCCATGCACAAAATTCGGTAAAGCTTCAGCTGAAACTACTGAAGTTGGGCGCTCTCAAACAGTTAACATGCCATACAGGCTTCTCTTCCTCTATTACTCAGGTCATACTTAACTTCATTCAACAGTATCACCCAGAAGTTAGTGAACACTGGAGTTTTTTGTGCTTTCACCACCTTAAAATAGCGAAGTTTCTGGAAAATGGTCAAGGAGGATCCATAAACATGGAGCTTGCATCTGGTCTTGCAGAAGGGTTTTGCCAGTTGTGTGGCCTGTCCTTGTCTCCTTTGCACCCTGTCTCACACAGGTATTGTTGTCCCACACCCTAGATATTTATTTTTGCCAGGGAAGGGAAGAGAAGGGGAGGGGAATCTCAAGACCCATGAATTCCCTATTGCAAGGCTGTGAAAGGAAGAACTACAAGGAGAGCGGGATGCTAGACAATGCAGCAGACTTATTGTCTTAATACTATTCCAGAGTAAGAGATACTGTCTCAGTCTTTGATTGATATGAAGCCAATCTGTGTTCCAAAGTTAGTGCCATCACGAAAGTGAGAGTAAAATTTATCAGGGTGGCAGGCAGTACAGAAAGTGATATTTTGGTTCTGGTCTGTGACAGAATCATCTTGGATGTTCTCAGGAAGAACCCCACCTCTCTCAAGAAGAATCCTTAAAAAAAGAAAGAGAAACAGAAAATAATATTTTTTTGTACATCCTCACATTCTGTAAGGCACTATCTTTAAGGCAGGACCTCAAGTACCAGCTGAACAAACTGTGCCAATATTGTCATTGGGACTTTCATTTGCTTTTCTTTTTATTTTCTTCCAGAATTAGACTAAATTAATCGCTTTCCTGCAACCAGTAAAGCCACATTAAAATTGAACTTTTGTCTATAATCCATAAGCCATCAGTATAACAATAAAATAATAGTTGAAACAGCAAAATTCAGCAGATACCATTCCTTCAAAAGTATCAGTTGTTGATCTGCAAAGTACTAGAGAGTACTTTAAGATGGTGAGGACCCTCACCAGAATGTCAGAATATCAAAGTAATTATTGATAACTAATGTGAAATTAGTCTTTTATTCACTCAGGAGGCTTACCGTGTTGCTCTTCTAATATCAATATAAGGATTTGCAGAGTTGAATAGTCTCACACACTTTGGATCAATTCTGTGAAATTCTTTTGCTGATTCATGAGGAAGTTTATAGCAGCAAGGTCCTACAGATGGGCCCAGCACCACAAGGATATCTTTCACATTACAGCCATATTCAGATACCATAGCATTTACTGTGGCCATAGACACTCCTAACAACGTTCCTTTCCATCCTGTGAGAAATGAGAGGTTGAAAAAAAATTTGTATAAATTGTCTCTTTAATTTTCTAGTATATTCTAGAAATATATGCTATTATTAAAGGTATAAATTAGGAAATATGTTTACACCTAAAATTAAAAAATATATCTAATAATAAATTATCTTTTTTAAAAAAACCCAACACATTAACAGCTACCAGTTTGTTGACATAATTTGGTGGAGATGGAAACTAAAGAGAAGCATTTAGTCTAGAATTCCAGAATTCTTTTTTCCCAGTGTCCTGGTTTGGGCAATTAGAGCATGCCTTACAGCTCCTTTGTGCTTGAAACATTTAAATGGGAATATGACAACAGAAATACGTCAGAAATGTATTTTTATAGTATGGTGAAAGTGGTTTAATGTTACTTTAGGAAAAAAAAAAGAGGCTCAAGATAGCGACATTTTTTGGAATAGACAGAAGCCAAGTTTGCACTTGGGCATTGTTTGGAATAGGCAGAAGAAAGTCCAGCTTTGAGTTCTTGTATCTCAATGTGAGTCCTGGGAAATCTTTGCATTGCACAGGGAGTGCAATTCCTACCAGAATGAGCAGCACCACAGGCTTTTCTGACAGGATCAGCAAATAGCACGGGTATGCAATCAGCACCTGGAGCTGCTAGCGTAACACCTTTCCGATTTGTAACTATGCCATCATAGCTGTCAGGCTCTGTCTTTCCCATAATACACACTGCATTAGCGTGATCAACCTGTCAAAACAAAACCAGAACATGGACAGTGATATGGCAGCAAAACAACCCAGTTCTGTCTAGTACAAGGTTTTTTCTTTGGTAAGAAACACTCTTCTGCACCAACTGATTATGCATGGAAATCAGGCACTCCCTTGTTTAAATGCCATGCAGATGTACCAGTAAAAAACCACTACAGAAGTGATGGTGTATTTTTCTTTTAGGAGGAACTGCTCTGATCACTTATCTGATTATTCTACTCTGTGGTAAGTTAAATGTTTGAACAGACTTGGAAGAATCAGCGTTGCTTCTCCATATTGTGCCAAATGGCTGATAGTTTGAATGGCTATTCTCTCAGATAAGCTGCCAGCTGCTTCTCACAAGTTCTTGCTGACAAAGGTAAGAATAATGCCTACAGTTTTAGCCAGTGACACACGAAGGAAGATCTGACTCATTTACTTAAATCCATTGTTTTATAAGATACCTTGACTCTGTGAAAAGCCTCTGGGTTAAATCCTGCAGCATTAGCTAGCCGACGGAGATTTTCTTTAACAACAACCTTTGGGTCCCTCCGCTTGGAACTGCTGAAGAGATTGCAGGAGCTTAGAGTTGGTATATATGAGATCCCACCTGTCCTTGTGGTGAACCCATGCAAGAAGGTACTATCTGGTAAGGCAAAAAAAGACAACAAATAATTGCCTTCAACACAAGATCAGGTCAGCTATTACATAGTTTTATACTGAAGAGATCTGGAATCAGCCAATCAAGTTGAGTATTGCTTTATCTTGTATTTAGCTGTGGTATTTAAATTTAAGGATTCTAATTTTCTTCTTGCTCAGAATCATGCCATGGCAGGGACACTGAGACATCAGGCATGTCAGGGACCAGAAGAAACTCTTTCCCTGCATTTCCAGATGATGATGGTAACTCTCCAAATGTGTAATTCACACACAGAGGGGAGATTTTTTTGTCCACAGTAATGCCCTCACTAAACCCAGGACTGTCTTTCCTCTGATTGTGCCCCAGGCCTGGAATAGACTTGCCAGTCTTTTGCTGTATTTCTACTGACACTTCTCCCTCTTATAGTCGTGATACACTATTACAACATGATATAGAGTTATTTGTTGCCTGAAGACATTTCCAAATTTTACCCGTTTCGCAATTCCCTTGAAGAAGTATGCTTGGTAACAGTCTCTGTAAAACTACTAGCTGGAACTCTCTTTACCTGGAATCAGGGAGGATCTGAGGATGGTGAGCTCCCCTTTCAGGCTTGGCAGGCTTTCCAAGTGCATCTGAATTTCACTTTGGATGAGTGCCATGTCCTGTGAAGGAAGTTTTTGCCCTTCACCCTGACGTTCAGATATCTGTAGGTTTTCAGAGCCAGATACCACCCGTAAATCCTCATATTCAAACTGGTAGACGGCTGTAAAGAGATGGTCTATATATCCTTTCATTAAGTCTTTTCTTAAGGTAGGGAGAATAACTTTAATGATGCTTAGGTCTTTTTCATCCAGTCTCTGTTTGATGGTGTACAAAGCAGCAGCTGTAGTCAGAGCATGTACCACCTCCAGTCTTCTCTTCAGACTCTGAAAACCTCCCAGAGCTGGAAGCAAGAACTCTTGTTCACCTTTCCTGTCACTCCACTGCCTCTGGCAACATATGACATAAACAAATGGAGCATGGATGGAAGAGCATTTCTCAATAGTTTCCAGTGTGTTGCATAGTAATCCTTGGATGTTGTTCTGCAAGTTGGCTGGGATGCTGAACAGATCTATTAGTACTGCTTCCACCATATTCCAGGATATTTAATTTCTACAACTGTCAAGTAGTAACAAACCATGAAAAACAAACAAAAAGACATGAAAGAACTGTTAGTCCAAACACAGAATAATGGTATTAAGGCAATTAATTCAGTGATACTGGGTAGAGAAGGTACATAGCAGGTAATTACTAACTCAGGATTTCCTAGCTGCATCCAAAGAAATTGCAGCAAAAGAAAACTAGCAGAAATGGGAATTATTATGTATTTATTTCAGCATCTAGGTATTTCCTTACCACCCCACCTACCTCAGGTTTTTCCCAGGTCAGGGATGATGAAAGGTTGGTACATAAGATTAGATTTATTGAATCAATTAACCCACATTAGCCTAATGGACCCTAATTGACATCTGTTTGATGGGCCCTCCTCCAGCTTCCAGAGGGCAAGCAAGTACAGAGGTCCCTTAGCTTGCTGGGACTGGAGGAGTTTCTGTAACAATTTTTTTGGAGCTGTTTAACACATCACTGAAGTGGAGCTCCTGTCTGCTACCCCTCCCGGCAGCAGAGTGCTGGGCTGTGAGTGCAATGACATTTTTTCCCACAAGACCTTTTGTACTTCTCCCTTTCGCATTACCAAAAGTATTGACTTGCTAATTTCTAACTTTTGTGTCAAGGGGCACGTGATTGGTATAGTTCTTTTCAGCACGCACAGGAACTCTGCACAGGTTACTGAAATTTCACCTAGTAACACAAGAAGCACTTAGAACTAAATTAAAATAATTAAATACTGTGCACAACTTCCTGCCTCAGTTTTATAACACTGCTAGCTGCACTCTTTGCTCTGAAATCAAGATGTGTTAAGCTTATCCCATATCATCCTATGGTTCCTGTTTTCTCTTGTGGCCCATGGTGTAATTCCAGGTTTGGTGGTTTGTTTTTTCCCCTTTCTGAACTGTGTTGATCCAAGCCCAGCTAGGCCTATGTGTGGAAACTTGTCCATCCACCTCTTCTTCTCTCTGTTGCTATGAGAGCCTATTTTTCATATCCTCCCAGAGGTGTCTTATTTTCTTTTCTCTCTCTCTGATAATCTTTCAGTTTCAAGGGCAAGCCTCCCAAGGTCTGGAACAAAAGGCTAGAACCCTCTGCTCTGGGAACCTCAAAGACATCTATTTAGACTTCATGACTAAGCAGCATGCTTGATCTGGGAGAAATATACATAGCTTTGCCATCAGTTCTAAGACCCCATAATAATTTAGAGTATTCTTTAACACTGTAATTTTTTTTACAGCAACAAATTGTGCATGAATATTAATTTATTTGTAGGAAAATTCATATCTTTGCAGAAACAAAGAAATTGAGAAGTCTTATGAGTCTTTGAAATCAAGAAGTAGTGGGTACAGGAGTAACCATGAGGGGTACAAGGAATAATGGGCACAAACTGAAAGAGGGGAAATTTAAGCTAGATATTAGGAAGCAATTCTTTATTGTAAGGGTGGTGAGATACCAGAACAGGTTACCCAGGGAGGTTGTGGATGCCCCAACTCTGGCAGTGTTCAAGGGGAGGTTGGATGGGGCTTTGAGCAACCTGGTCTAGCAGGAGGTATCCCAGCCTAAGGCAAGGGGACTGGGACTAGGTGATCTTTAAGGTCCCTTCCAACCCTTAACATTCTATGATTCTATGATCAATGCTCTGCTACCAGAGCTAACTGCATCAGATAATGCCCAGCGCTATTTTTCTGCCCCAAGTCCTCGTTCTCCTGTAACTACATGCATGCTCTAGCTTTACAACACTTCATTATTCTGCAAAAATATTACTTCTGTGTGTACTTGAGGCCTACCATTATGGCAGACTTGGGGTACTCCTTGGCATTTTATGCTTTAGAATGGATTCCCAGACTTTCTACACTCAAATGAAAGGTCAAAGACCTTTCTGTTTTTAATGGACAGTTTATTCAAAGAAGGTTTTACAGAAAACATTCTGTATTTTCTTCATTGTTCTTTTCCCCAGACTGGAAGAAAAATAATCCTGACTGAAAATGATGTTTTCCTTTCTGCAAATTGAACACTTACAAAGATTAACTGGTGACTATCAAAACAGGTAGACTGAAAGAATCAAAATGTGACAGCAAATAAAAGAATCTGCCAGGGAATTTATGACTCTTGATTTTGCTCAGAGTATTATTTACACGCAGCTGATAATAGATTTTAGAGAAAACAGCTCGCTAAGAAAACAGTGCCAAAACAGGCTCCTGTTTAAGACCATGACTTGGGAAATCAGAGTATTTCCTTTCCTACCCTGACACACTCTGTGGGAGGCCTGTCAGAGTATGACATGATCACAATCTAGGTATAGCTAATACCTTTATATAGGAAAGACAGTACAACAGAGGGCTGTACATGAAAAACAGATTATTGCTCCACTTCAGATATATCAACAGTGGAAGGTAAGTAGAGTTCATTGCTGTTCTTGTACTTGCTCAGAAAAATACCAGCAGAGAAAGGGTGGAAGGAAAGTGTTTGCTGAGGGAGAGGTAATTGCCTACATTGTTAAGTTGTGTGTGTACTGCAAAAAGTCCAGAGGGGCAATTATTGAGATGTACACATAGGAAAAATGGGGCTCACTCATCCTTCCAGTTTTGCATCACAGAGTCCTAGTGAGGTCAGTGGTGTCAGAAATAAACTTGCTTACAATTATAGCAAAACTGACTCCTTTCTAAGCCCCCCCCCCAAAAAAAAAAAACCCTTCTCAAAATACAGGTTTGCCAAGTACAGCAATGTTTTAGCTCATGGGAAATGCATTCACAGTTATCCAGGTTTGAAGTAACATGCTCTACAGTCCCATTGTTCCATGGAAAGCCTCTCTGCACTTTACCACATCAAAAAACCTATTTATTAAAGAGTCGATCATATTGGTACCCAATTCAAGACAAATAATTCCACAAACTTGAAGCTAAGGCCACTCATTAGCTATTTTGATCACTCCTTGAAACTGTCAGTGCAAGCGTTTTGAGGGTAAAGAGATTCTCTTGCACAGATATCAAGAAAAAGAAAATCAAAGAAAATTATCAATAACGAGAAGAGAGGTAAAGAGGGTAACAAGAGTGAAAAGCAGAAGGGCAAAGTGAATGTAGAAAAGCAACAACGAAGGAAGTAAAACCAAGCTGCAGAGAAAAGACAGTCCAGGGTAGAAAAAAGATGCAAAAACCAATTTTAAAAAAAAAACAAATCAGCAGTCCAATTATAGAAGTTCCCTGTTGGTCAAGACAAGATTGCTGACAATTTCCTGCACTTTGAATCCTGCTGGTCACCTTGTATTTGTACAGAAACTCAGAGGAATGACATCATTTTTAGAAAATTAAAAAGGCAAGAGATATTTAACATATGAAAGAGGGAGATGCCCTGAGAAAGAAAACAGGTCATTAAAGCTGTCCAAATGAACAGGGATAAGAGCACATTTGTAAAAAATTTCAACAACAAAAAAACCAAAACCAAAAACAAAACCCCAAATAAACAACAAAACCCACAAACAAACAAACAAAAAACCAAAACCAGGGGAAAAAATAGATTTAAACCTCCTAAATTGGATTACAATAAAACAAATTGCCTCTCCTAATTAGGTGTATTTAGGCAAGGTTGAAGAAACAGAGATAACCACATACAATGAAAATATTAAAGTACATGCAATTTTTGTAAACAAAGTTTAACAGGAATTTACTTACACAGGTAGACAATCCTTTTAAACTCTTGAAAGATATCAACTGATATAATACACACACATTTCCAGCTTTATATATCTCACTTCTTTCAGTCTTGGAACTGATTTGTACAAGATGGAAATTCCTATTCTATGTAAGATAGCTCTGGGAACCTGTATTTCTTCTTTTTGATGGGACCCTGCTTTGTTGCTGAGTCCACCGGAAAGAACGAACTGTACCACAAGGCACCAACATGATTAACAAGCGTGTAGGTAGCGCTGAACCCGGAAGCAGCGTTAACCCTGGCGTGCAACTCCCTGCTGCAATCACACCTTCTAATACACCAGCTTTGCACAACCTTAAACTCGCTCAGAAACGTATGGCGGAGCAAAAGAGAACAAGAACACGAAGTAGTTCAAGGAGAACTTGTGCAGACTGAAGGAGTTTCCTTTTCTGAGCTGTAGCTGCACGTTCCAGTGAAGAATCTGTCAGTCAGTCAAGGAAAAGTATATTCCGGATGCAGAGAGAGAGGTTATGAGAGGTTAGCCTTAGGGGCCACAGGCCCCAAATGACAATGGCAATTTCTTGTTGAAGCAGTCAGAAATTTTGCACAATGTAGTGAGAAAGTCTTAATCCTTTGACAGGACAATGAGAAGGTTAAAAGGCAAGTGGGGAAATGAAGGATTTATATCAGGCTTTGTACAAAAATCAAATGGTAATAAATATGTTTTGTCAGCTGTGTTAAAATCATAGTCATAACAGTTAAGTATATGACAACTGAAGAAAAGGACAAGAAAAAAAGGAAAGTAATTTATTCAGGAACAGAGGAATTAATAAAATGTGATTTTCTATTAATTGCTGTCTCCTGTTCCTCCCTTCCCTGCACCTGCAGTAAACGTACATTACTGCCAGGTCCAAAACACACCTGGGGAGTGCCCTGTCATTTCCCCTCTTGCTTTTCTTTCCAACTTGTGCTGGGCAGAGGGATGAGAGCTGAATTCTCCTGTTTCTCCCTCCTGAAGAGAACTGATGGGGTTATCTTGTCCTTCCCCATCCAGACATCTCCCTTCATGAAGTTTGCAGAAGTCGGTCATCTCTGAAGCGTTCCACCCCACTGTGGCTGAACTAGGTCATTAAAAATTAACAGGAGAGCTTGGTGGAGAGAGACCAACACGATCATTTTCTTTCCTTCAGTGAGACTAAGCAAGAAAAACTAATTACCAGGGTAATTTTTGGTGCAGAATGCTGAGAAGGAAAAGCTCAGAAAATACTCAGGGGTACAAAACAATATTAAAAAGTGACAAATTGACAACTCTGGCTCAAGTATTATATTCATCTTATGCTGTTGCAAAAAAAAAAAAGGGATTAAATAAACAGATCATAGGAAGACATAAGCAGTTAAATTATAAAATAGTTGTTATAAAAATATATTTTACATTTATATATTTAAGTTGTTTAATATATGTATATTGTGTAAGTTGGTTAATATATTTATATATTTCAGTTGTTATATGTTATAAATATAAAATTATAAAATAAATTCTAAAATTAAACTATAAAAATAGTGCAATTTAGGGTTAAAATCCCTCAACCTGGAGTTCAAAAGCATACGAGTGGGCACAAGGCAAGTCCGTGCCTACAGCACAGGACACGAAACTGGGCCACATCTCTTCTCCCTCGTAACCCAGTGGTGCTCAGCAAAACCTGTTTTCTCTGCATAACAAACCATGGCAGCAAATGCAGTTTAGCACAGTGAATTAGGTAACCCGGGGAACTCAGAAGCGGAAGGAAGCTGAGTAGAGCCCTCGGCCGCGGGGTGGTGAAACCGCTATCGGGTGGGGAAGCAGCCACCCATTCATTTCTGAACGCGACCGGTTGTTTCCGCCGCTTTTCCTCGGGCTCCTGCCGGGATCAGCACCTCTCACGGCCCCTGGGCCCCGACCGCCGTTCTCACCCGGACGCCCCCTGAGCCGTCCCGCCGCACCCCGCCGGGGGCCTTGGCCCTTGGCCATTCGCCCGCCCGCGGGGAGGCGCGGCGTGCCTGCGCTGAGGAGCGCGGCGGCCCTGTGCGTGCGGCAGGTGCAGTGAGGCCTCCGACTGCGTTCGCAAACCGAGGGTCTGTGCTGCAGATGAACACTGCAGCGGTTTATTTTATAAAATTCTGCAAGCAAGCGTTCTAATTCTCAGTGATTAGCTTTGAACGTCTACCCATTAGTAACCTGTTCTTCCTAAGTAAAAATGAGCCAAATGAAATAACGTATTGATCGGCGATCCCACGAGAAATCCCTTTGTATTGTTTCATCAACAGGAATTAAATTAAAATGAAGATAAGACAATTCACTTTTTTTTTCTCTTCCCTCTAGTTCTTCACTTTTGCCTAAAATGGCCAAGCAAAATTCTCCCTCACTGGTTGAAGTTGTAAAAGAAGTTGCAGAGCGGCAGCATTTGCAGGCATCGGAGATAGAAAAAAGCAAAACAGTTCTTTGCCAATTGCAGGTAATAAGCCTTGTTTAGAGTAGTTTAATAATTTTTTTCTTTAGATGAAAGAAGTTAGGTGAAGAAGTGTTCCTATGAAAAAGAGAAGCTGATAGTAAAATTTTTTTCTGGGCAAGTGCAACTGTGAGGCAGATACTCAGATACCTTTAGGCTTAGTCAAAACTGTGGATGCGTGCTGTTCTTTTTAAGGCCACAACAGAGCCAAGACTTCATTAGAGCAGGTGAAACTTTTGGTTTTTACTTGGAAAAAAAACCCAAAAAATCCCCAACAAATACTGAGCTGAACACACAAAGCAAATCCACAACAACTAAATGCAAAGTTAGGTCTTTTAAAATTATTTTTTATAGTGATTTCCTAAGATATGTGGTGGGGGAGAGGAGGAGGGCAGGCAAGGAAGGATTTTAAAACCATTTGGTTTTTTTTTCTTTTTGGCAGAATTTCACCAGACTATATAATCTTTTTGACACAAAATGCCTTTTTTATAAATGTGTGTTTGAAGTGGATATCCTAAATAGCCATTAAATACTGCCTTTATTCAGTACTGTTAAGTAGAACACTGCAAGAAGTTTTCTTCCCATAATATAGTAAACACTGCAACAAAAATTATTGTCACCACACAATTTTAACAAAGGCATCTGTTTTCAAAAAAGCCCACAGAACTTTAGAGCCCTGGGTAATTAAGTTAGTTCATTTGTTGTTTCCTCTTTTATACCTATTTCTTTTTCTTTCAAAAAAGACCAAACCCTAGGAAATTTCATACAAACATTAATGTTAGAACAGCAAAATTAAATAATTAGGAACTTTTAATCAAAACGCAGAACTGCTTTTTCATCTTTACATCAATTCCCATGTGTACATGTCACAGAAGACGTGGAAAACAATAATTTCCTTTCCAAAATTTAACAGCTTTGCCACTAAGATCTCTTGCTTTCCTATCCTCAGTAAAAGGTGGCTGGCAGTGATAAAATCCCGTAAAACTGTAGCCCAGGATTTCTAAATTAAAAGTCACGCAGGAACTTTTGTTCTTAACAGTTAATAATGTCTTAATCTGTTCAAGACATTGAGTAAGAGATTTCATACCATTCGTAATGCTTCCATTAGGGAAAAGATAATAGGCGACATAAATCACAATGCTAATTATCTCACTTAGTGCACTACTGTTGGCAAGAACTTTGGGTGGCATTCATCATAGCTAACTTGCATGGCCTACAAATCAGATGCTAAGCCTGTATTAGTCATCTAGGCTCCCTTGCTAGTTATCTAAGAGAGAGAAACATTTCTGAGGCAGCACTTCAGCCCTTCCATCTTAGATTCACGTGTAGATGTGTGGTCAGGGAGGCGGTTTAGTGGTGGAGTTGTGCTGGGTTAAGGGTTGGACTCGATGATCTTAGAAGTCTTTTCAACCTTAATGATTCTGTGATTTCTTACGATGGGTGGAAGTACTTCTGCTTGTGTTAGCTTATCAGTGAGATGAAGAGGCCTTTTTAGGGCTAGATACATATTTCTTGTGGGGTTGAAAATAGTGGGGATTAATCCAACTTTCAAATACTACTGTGATGAAGGCAGGATTAAAAACCTCAGTAGAACAGGCTAGTTAAGCTCCATCATCTAGAACACCACTTTATTTGTGTAGTTTTGTAAGTGATTTTTGGCGTCTTTAGTTATTTTTAGTCCAATTAGGACTTCACCAGATTTCAGCTCTAAAAAAACACTAGGATTGGGTTTGATCTACCACATTCTATGTATCTAGCAAATATGAGGAATTTAAAGTAAGTTCAAGGATACCTTATTTCATATTTCAGACTCAATCTAAGGGGATAAAACTAAGTACTCTTGCATTGTGCCTCTAAGGTGATGATTTTAAGAAATGGAACTTTAATTATCTTCCATTCAAACCACTTTATGCAAGTTAAAAAGAAGATTATGTTGAATAAATATAAATTAATTACAGTGTTTAACTAGACACTTCATATCCTCCCAAAGAAATGTTCTTAAAATACCACTGAAATGTTTTACAGGCAAAGTTTCAGGAACTAGAAAAGGAAATGAATTCTATTCTGTTAGAACAAAAGACAACAGAAAAGGAAATACATCTGCAAGATGATGCCATAGAAGTGACAAAATATCACTGTGAAAATCTGGAGGCCCAAGTCAGAGCCCAGTATTCTGAAAATTTAAAGCTGAGGTGTGATGCAGAAACAGTGCAAGAAGAATTTGAGATGATACTTGCAAGAAATAATGAATATCGGGAAAAAATAAAGAATCATAAACATCTCTTTTGGGAGATGGATAATAAAATGCCAGTTATGATTGAGCTTGCTAAAAAGAAGGCTATTGTTGAAGAATTAAAGACAAAGAAAGAGGAGTTAATGCATGATCTCCAGAATCCAGAAGGATCTGTAATAAAACAAGTACAGGTATTATATTTCCTTTTTTAATTTTTTTTCCTTTTATGTGAAATAATTTTGACATAGTTTTTATAATATGGTTATTTTGTCTAAGATGTTTATGGTTCATGGGAGATTGACTACATGAGAATATAGATAATTTATAATACTACATTAATTAAAGAAATGTTTACTTTGGTATGCAATGAAAAAAATCAGCCATTGTTATCTCTATATTTTTGTAAAAGACAGGTTCATTACGTGTGATCGAATGAACTCAGATATGAAAAAAAATTACAGAGCTTTTTATCATTGGATAAACTTCTGTGGATACTTTTCAGAATTCTGTGAAAGCTTGCCATATTGTTACATTTTTCATGTAAGAACACACTATTCTTTAAACTTTCCTGTCAACAAACTACAGTTGAGCTGTTTGCCAAAAGGAGCAGATTTCATGAGATGGTGATAGAAAGAAGAAGAGGGCAAAAAAATATTTGTTTTATTATTTTAGTCTAACGCTGTTGTTTTTTACTTGACTCTAATTGCAATACTGATTAAGCGCTACCACATATGAATTTTTCACCACAAAATTTTGCCAGTATGTGAAGTTGGAGTATGAAGTTGGAATGGGATCACAGATGTTGTATGAAGTTGGAATGGGATGAAGTATGAAGTTGGAATGGGATCACAGATTTCAAATCTGATGTAACCTGCATTATAGAAAATCTGGTGTTACTCTGTTTATGTAAATGGATGAAAATTTGTTTGTACAATAGACCTTTAAATACTGATAAATAAAGACTTATTAACACTGTATTTCCCTATGAGAAGGAAAAATATATCTCAGATATTGCATTAAATATTCGTTGCTTTTACAATAAATTACACTTTAAACAAAATAAAGACTGTCAAAATGAGTTCAGAGTCCTATATTGTAGTTTTCGTATTTCAGATCAAGAATATATATTCTTACATGTCTAAACCCGTGTTATAAAATATTTAATTATTAATTTTAATTAGTCTTCTTAAATTATTATTAATTTAATTATTATTAATAGGCTTATTGTGAAATTGTTTATTATAGTTCTTTTTCTAATCTCTGTTAGTGGAGTGAGACTGTTAAAATGTGACATTTTTAATAAGCTTAACAGATGTACTGTGCCACATTTCAAGGAGTGGATTTCTGTATCTTAACTTACATCTGCAGGAAGAAATTACACTTCTAAAAAGTGAAATCACAACATTGAAAGATTTCATCAATCAAAAAACAGATTTGCTGGAAGAAGAGAAAAAAAAGCATGCTAAGCTTAGAAAAGAAATTGAGGTGAGCCATTTAAATAAATTTTAATTACAGTTCTCCTGACAGAACGTAGATAGTGCAAATGAAGTTTGAAGTACTGGCCATACATTGTTCAAGTATATACAGTAATTATGCTATCTTAAACTCTGGGTACTGACACCCTTTCTAAAATTCAGAGCTTTATTGCTGTCTTGAGAAAAATCGAAGTTAAGAACATTTTTTCTGAAGTCTTTTAAGAAGGAATTCAGCTGTGAAATTTTAGAATGATGTCCTGAAAAGAGAAGTCGCTGAATGGTAATAAAGCAAAATGCGTCTTTTAAAATTTCTGTAATACTTCTGAAATACTTTAAATTTCACTGCCGGTTTGATTATTCATGACTTGTCTCGTGGTTCCTGATGACTCATCAATGAGACAATCAATTGGATGAAGAAAATGGACTTCCCGTGAATCTCTCTAATTTGAGCTGATGTTAAATTAGGAATAACACAGAAGCTCCTAATTAACTGCCAAGATAAAATTCTGATAAATGGTTAAAACCTTCTCTTTTAAATAATTGAGCTATATTTTATATTTTGTTTCTTACTAAAATACTCTGTATGTCTAGATAGTTTTTAGTTTGGAGTTTCACATAATTATTCTTGTTAGTTCAAATAAATGCCACAAAATTTAATTAGCAAAGCTTGGCACTATAAAGATGAACTGATCCAAGCTTTGGTCTATTGCCCATTGTAAAATATAGGAGGAAGAAAGAATCATTTTTCATATGATAGGGAATGGCAGAGAATTTTTGACCTGAAAAGCAAAACACAGCTGCTTTAGAATAGATCTGTGCTGCTCAGCTTCTGAGAAGATATTTTATTACCAAGTTAACATCCTCCTAAGAAAGTTCTCTAAACTCAAAGTGAAATCAGGCAGCCTAAAAATAATGTTCTGTTCTGTTACTGAAATCAATTTAAATAAGCAGTGAAGGTTAACCTGTTCTTTGGTTGTTTGGATTATACAATCTTTTTGTCTCAGAAGGAAGCAGGTTCAAAAACTAAATCTTTCAGGGTATTATTTTCTACTAAGAACTCTCTTTAAAACAATCCAATTTTTAATATAAAAACTGACAATGGATAAGCAGAGACATTTATACCCAGCAGTCCTCAGCACAACTTGGGAAAGAACATTCAAGTCAAGCACGGGAATAAAGTGAGATACTAGTCACACGGATGAGGTTCCATTGAGCTGCAGTGGTGGAATTCAGCTATAGACTGCTGACAGCTAAATGTGGTTGTTTGAATGCAAGTGACGACACATGAGTTAGGAAAGTTCCCATTATAGTCACTGGAGCTGTGGTTAGTACAGTTGATGTATTCTAGAGATCAATTCAGTCCATAAGCCTACGTGTTTACAGTAGGATGAATTGCATGGTATGGTCTTTCTAGACTTTATACTATACACTGGGTAGAGCAAACTGATCTAGTGAAAGATGTCCCTGGCCATAGCCAGGGGTTCAGTGAGATGATCTGTGAAGGTCCCTTCCACCCCAAACTATTCTGTGATTCCATGATTAATAAATTTACAAAGAATATATGAGCTTCCAGGTTTCTGACCCTTCAGATAGAAGCAGGTCATTGCATCTGATCAATGAGTTTGCTCTTGCTTTAGGATTTCTGCAGCAATCATTTTAAGCACTCATCCAAATCTGCCCCTATACAGCCTTATACTTAAATACCTATAGAATTCCTGTTGAAACCTCATTAATGGCTAAGCTGGCGCTCAAACAGGATGGATTGACTCTCATAGCCCTGGTGCTCCCACTTTGCTTCAGTATTATTTCTGGTTTCCCACAAAGATTTCCCCAACTAAGCACATGGTGCAGGAATGTAATTCAGAATGCCTTTCTAAAGCAGCTGAATTTTGGAAATTTAAAAATTTTTGATAAAATATCTTTCTGCAAGAAAATTGGTGCCTAAGTGTCCTTTTTTTTTTTTCCCCCAAGTAAAGTCAGTGATCTGACATTGCCAATTAATGAAGTCTACAACTAATTCATACCTGAGATGCTTCTCATCAGTCAGGGTACTGATAGACTCTTAAGGCAGCTTGTGTACCTTTTCTCACTCCCTTTCCTGAGCACCATCCCCACCACCCATCTCTTGAAGAGCAGAGCCTGTTCCCAGTCTTGGACAGGGATGTCAGCAATAAATCAGGGTGGTCACCTGTGTAGGGACAAGACTTCAGTCATAAGGACTAATTCAAGATGTCCACAAATAATAGAAAATTTGTTGCTATGTAAAAATAATAAGAAAAAGAAAGCTCAAAAGACCGTCTCTGCCCGTACTGCCCTCTTTCCCCTATGTCAGTGTGCAACTACATTATTCTTGCACATACTTGCCTATCCTGTCCTTAAATGATCCCAGTGGTGGAATATCATGAGTGCCCAGACAATTTTTTCAAAGGGTTGACAAATACGTTCACAAGGACAGTAAAAAGAGCAGTTTTTTCCCTCCCCTCTGTCCCGTAATCATGTTAGTGCTCCCTCCCTCAGCAGATGTGCCAGACAGTTCCCAATAATGATGCTGGGGACACATTTCTAAAAAAAGCAGATAATATTGATCATAGATGTTTCAGTGTCATACAACGTAGTCCTAGTGACGTTCAGATCCCCCAAGCACTCATTCAGATGAGTGAATCTGACAGCATCCCTCGAAAAGTTGTGAACGATTATAGTGAAGAGTAAGGCAAAGTGAAGGAAAACAGCCCATCAGCAGTAAAAGGTGGCAGTGTAATTTATAAAACATCAGTGAGGGAGTTCCTTAGCTATATGGAAAATTTAGGCAGGAAGACTTGCAGGAAGTCACTGGCAGTGCTGTAATTCTGATGTAGCTGTACACCATCATGTGTATGTTAGGTACAGTGTAATAACATTTCAATAAGCAGACACAAGAGTAATTATACATGACCACTCATATGCCATTCAAACTATGGTAAGCAAGCCCAAATTTTCATTAAGGGAATACCCATTATTTCCATTTTTATTATTGTCAATGCTTTTACAGAATGCAAATCTTCAGAGGGTTGTCGGCAGCAGCCATTGTTCTCCATGTAAGGCAGCAATGAGGGCAAAATTGATACACTACTGCATTGCCACAGTATTGCCTGCCTATGAGAAACATACTGTTTTAAATGCAATGCAACTACAAAGCTCCTACCACAGCCATCTACATTACCTCATTTGTATTCTCATTTATAACCAAACACACTTGTCAAAGAATGATTTTTTTTTTCCCTTTCTCACCTCTCATTCTGGAGCCTGAAATCTTCCATGTATGAAGTGTTGCTACTATGTGAGATGCTGACTCTTTGGGTGGGATTTGCAATGTTAAATTTTAGACATCTAGAGAACAGATACCCATACTGAACTCTTCATTTAAGGTCTTAGTGAGAGAGTTTTTCTTTCCTTATTGGGAAAGTGAGGCATGATTCATGTTGTCCTAAAGCAGACTTAAATGAATGGCTTCCTAGATGTCTGTGTCTCTTCAGCAACAGAAAGTAAATGTGTAATGACATGGTCAAATATCAGAATGTACCCTTGGACAGAGTTAAGGGAGCTGAACCCACCTCTGTAAATAGTTTTATTTGAATGAAATTGTGAAGTGAATTTTATTCTTCTTTTTTTTTAGGTACAGAATAAAAGATATGATGCTATTTTAAAACGTTTGCATTGCCAACTGAACAAAGTCCATTCAAATAAAAGACAATGGCACTGGAACATTCAGCAGTTGGAGAAGAAGGCAACAGAACTAAGAAAGTGTCTTGGAGTAGTGGAGTTACAAAATATCATGTAACAAACATAACAAAGCTAGAATGTAGGTAATCTTTTCCAGGCAGGGGAGGCTTTTTTTCTGGAAATACTACAACTCTTAAATAGCATGGTAACTGGGCCAGACCTCATTGATTTCTTTCTTTTTAAAGTTTTTTGCACTTTCATTTTCTAGACTAAACTAAAATGGTTTTTTGTTTGGTTGGGCTTTTTCGGTTTTGGGAGTTTTGTGTTGTTGGTTTTGTTTTGGGTTTTTTTTGTTTGGTTGGTTTGGGTTTTTTTTGGTGGTTTTTGTTTGTTTGTTTGTTTTTCTGGGGTTTTTTGTTTGGTTTTTTTGGTTGGTTGGTTGGTTGGTTTTCGGTTTTTGGTTTTGGTTTTGTTTTATTGTCGCCAAAGGCCATCCAGGAAAAAAGTTATTGACACTTCTGGGTGTTTTCAAAATATGCGTCAATTTTATCTAAAAAGTTGTTTTTTCTAAAAGTCAACCAAACAAGACTTGAGAAGTTCCTTTTTATTTAATTCGGTCTTTGAAGATTGGGATCTACATTGTTTTCCCTACAGAGAAATGAATATCTTTGTATATTTGCGTTCCTGAGAGACCGAAGTTCTAGATCTTTTATCCACACTCCTTTTCATTGCAACTTACTAAGGAGCTCTGGAAGCTCTGATGGCCTGTATTTGTTGTGTGGGAAATTCATATAGCTGATGTAACAGGCTGTTTGCCCTGTGTCTGCCAGGATGTCCTAACATGGGGACAAGGAGGACATAGGCTGTTCAGCTATAAAAGGCTTAGGAACAAGTACGCTCAGAACTGGGCTTCAAATAATCTGACTTTAACTGGTCTAATATATGTTAGCAAAGAGGAAGGAGCAGGTTAATAGGGTACTACATCTGGATAGCTTTTAAAATGGAACAACTCACCCTCAACAGATAGGAATGTGTTATAGATGATTGATTATAGAGGAACTTATTATCTAGAGGATCTTAAATAACTAGTATCAGCCATCTAACATCTAAGTGTTTAATATTTGGCAAGATGACTCAACATAAATGACAACCTATTAAAAATTCTTGTTAAAATAGTAGTGAACAGTAGCCATTTTCCTTTGCCTTCTTTTTATTATGTGCTTGGCATTTGCAGAATTTACATACTTTCTCTGCTCTTACACTTAAGGTAGTAGTTCTATTTGGACATAACTTGTAAAATTTATCTCTTTTATGAAAGTAGCTTTTAATTTAAGGTGTTATCTCGAATAATTTAGATTTATCTTTACTCATTTATATAAAATGAAAACTTAAGCAATTTGACTATTTACTCTGAAAAAATGTTAAACTGCCTATATATTGTTAGCTTAGGAAAGCAAAGCTTAAAATGCAGTACTATTATTACATTCATATATTCATGTATATTTACATTTCCCTTAATATGTTATTTCCCTTTAATATAAAGTTATTTTAAGCAATATCCTGGCTCATGAAGGTGCTCTATCAACATTGTTAGACTCTGAAGGTTTTTTGCCATGATCTTTTTCCTTTGCAATAGTATCAACCAGTCTGCTTTCATTAAAACAGTAAAGTAGAAATGAAAACCTCAGTAACCTATGCTATAGTAACAGTATGTCCTGCATATTGAGTCTCATCAAGTATGTAGCATTACTGTAACATTACAACTGTTCATCCCTACACAGACTAAAATAGCATGCATTTGATGCATGTGTATCTTCTAGAAAGGGATCCAAATTTGAAAAAATCAGAGATTTTACTGTTATTGTTATTTTCAGTGATTAACTGCTCTTCTCTTGTTTTTCATGATTTCTAATTTCAACTTTTTCAGCCATCCAGTGAAATGAATGTACTTTATATGAAGTAGTTTCTCTCCATAAAAATACTTATGTACTGTCTTTTTGATGAGTTAAATAGTTCAAGTGTTCCAAAGTTATTGACTGTCAGATCTGACCAAGAGCTTTAGCTTAATGTATACCCCCAAAAGTGGTAAAATGCCTGACATTTTCAGGGGATTAAGACTATATGCCCTTAATGTACCTTTTACCACTAATATTATCTAGTTTTCATATTTAGTTTCTAATTATTTAAGATCCCCAACAATTAATGCACCAAAATATGTTTTGTATCAGTCACACAAATTACTTAAACCAAATTCACTTTAACATTTATTACCACAGTTATAAAATCACAGTTTAACCTTGTACTTTATTACCAGTTGAAAACAACTCTAGCAAACAATCCAAACCTTCTCATGTAACAAAAATATCACACCTTGGTTTTTCTTTTTCACCAATGAAGATGTTCATTGTTACTTCCCTGGGTATTAGGGTGGTTTCTATGTATCAACACATACAGCCTGACTCACTCATATCAAATACCTTGGACTTACATTTTCCTTGTTCCTTTTCAAAAATCTCATCGTTTCAGTATCTCAATTTTATAGTTCTTTGTACATGTTTTGAAGTTGTTTAATATAATTTAACAGAAATGCATACAAGAGCTGTATTTAATACTCCTGTTAGTGCTCCCTTCTCCTATGGAGAGGCCTACCTATCATTCAAGGCCCAAGTTTTCTCATACTCCTTTTTGCTCATTGCAAGAGAGCTCACCTACTGGGGCCCTTGACCCCTTCATGGGATCTCAGCTAACAAAGGTGTATTTCTCCTTTTTTCTTTGGTGCAAAGCTTTCTTTTTTAATATACATATTTAAATGGACTCAGCTTATCTCAGTTGTGTCTCAAATACTCTGGTAACTACCAGGGATTCCCGGGTAATAGCTAACTCCATATCAAAAAGATCCCTGGCCATTTGTGATTCAAACTCATCTGTGCGTTTGTGCTAGAAAGGAGCTGCTGCATGGTTTAGCTGTATCCCCAGGTGAATGGTGGAAGCTTTGGAAATTAAAGCATGCTTCAGCTCCTCAGCTTTCTTGCCACAAAATGTAGCTATAGTTCAAGTACTTAATATGTGTCTTGAATATGTATAACTGTTCTGCTCTCATTTAATTAAGAAATTATGCTAGAAAGAATTTTATCTTTAATCCCATATCAAAGAAAAATACTATTGTTGGTCATCATAAGTCTGTTTCTTTTTCTGAAATTATTTGTTATAAGATACGAATGCTGACTGTTATTGTCATCTTGCATCACTGTCCTAGGTAATTGCCACAATTATAATCTCTCAGTCCACATAAACACACCATTTGTGTGTTTAACTCAACTGCCTTAAACACCTGAGTTGATTCATTTCTAATCTTGGAAGCTTTGTCCTGAGTTCCCACCAAACTTCTACTTTAGTCATTGACTACACCTGAAATCGGTGTTCAGTGCTAAACACCACATTTTAGAGGATCAAATACATTTTGCACACTTCCAGTAAACAGAACTTCGTATCACACAGTAGTTACATATTTTCCCAGGTGCAGCATTTCACATTTAACATTCAGTGTTTAACAGATAGTAAATATAAGAAACATTTTACTAAGGAATGGCAGTTAATTGGGAGAAAACCTGATCTCGAAAAAAAAAGTCAGCTGAAATGAGGAAATATAAAAAACTCCCTTCTCTAAACTGTCAGCATTCTGTGCAACATATGAAAAAAAAAATAAATGTATGTAGCTTTTTATAAAAGTGCCTAATTCCAACAAATCCTAGCAACCTGCTGAGGCTAATTTTTCTTCATATAGTGTTAACCAGTGGCAAGTTGATCTCAGGGCATTTTTTTCCCTTAGCAAGCAAGCAAGCACAGACAGTAGGAGAATGATTTATTAATTTTGGGAAATAACTTAGTGAATGTACTTTGTATTGTTATTACATGAAGCTTTCCCAGCTCCTGTTGGAGAACCATGCTGCCAAACCCCTATAAGTCATTTCTGAGGACAGGTGTGGAGTGAAGGGAAGAATTTTTGTCTTCAGTACTCTGCAGGCAACAGCAAGAGGAGTGATTGCCCACTCTGAAAATCAAAACAGACACCAAGCAGGGACAGGCATGTAAATAACTGAGAGTGTAGGAAAACTTATCAACCAACGACTCCTATCCACCACTTAGCAAAAGTCTAAAGCACAGGAAACTGGATTTATTCCAACAATATAATGTAATGAAAAGGAAAATACTGGGGGAACTCCACACTTGACAGGGAAACAATACAGCTGTTGAATCATTCTTGTCATGCAGCAAATGCACTGGTGTATGATGAAGGGAAGGATTTCCCCATGTTTTAAGCTGACGCTCCACAGGAAACCCTTTCAGTGACTCAACAACCTCAGGTGCTGAAGCAGAGGAAATGTGTCAGATAATGCAGACATACCTGCTAAGATCGCTGCTGTCACTAAGACTACACGAGATAAACAACAGAAGGGGGAAGGTGGGTTAGAGATAGACGCCAGTGCTGTGCTGCTTTGCCTCTCTTGCAGTTTGCTTTGGCCCTCAGGAGGGTCACTTGCAGAGAGCTGTGTGCATGAGTGTAGCAGTAAGTAGTGCATGCTCTTCTACTATAGTTCTTACACAATGCTTCAGAGGAAGAAGAAATCATGACCACACTATGCATTGATGGGACATCATGCTGCTGAAGGTGGGGAAAATCCCAGCTTTCAGAACTCTTACCTGATTTTCTGAAATGGATGAATATATCTTTACCAAAGTAATTATTAGATCCTTTGTTAAAATGAGGCTGTAGTATGTAGGTCTGAGTCATGTGGAGGCAGTCACTTCTTGAGGAATTCCAAGCAGTACTGAAATATTTTTCTTTTAATTGTCTGCTTTGCAGGAGGCAAACGCTTTTTCAGGAACACGGTTAAGGCAATGCAATGAACCACCTCAGAAACATGGATCGAGCAAAACCAATTCACAGTATCTTTAAAGTACCACACTCAACTATTTCATTTGGCTTTTTCTAGCATTTAGAGGAAGCAACACATAATGACCTAACAAAATGAAGAAAAACATTAACCACAAACTGCAAAGGGTAAACCAAGATAAACAAAAATATCTCTACTCTCCCTACCCCTGAAAAGAAATTGAACTGGACATGCCCCATCTGGATGAAAAGGAACCATCCAGAGGGACCTGGACAAGCTTGAGCAGTGGGCCCATGGGAACCTCATGATGCTCAGCAAGGTCAGGTGCAAGGTGCTACACCTGTGTTGGGGTAACTATGGATATTAATGCAGGCTGGGAGATTAATAGATCAAGAGCAGCCCTGCTGAGAAGGACTTGAGGGTGCTGGT